CCCGCCCACACCCAAAGGAAGCCCCTCTGCTCCTCCATCTCGCAGATCTACCCGGAGAAAGACACCACCCTCACAACCCAATGACCTGACATCACCAAGAAATAATAAGCAAGTTTATGACAAGATGGCAAAGGACAGAGAGAGGCAGAGGAACACAGTGCAGGAAGAGGAGAGCTCCATCGTGTATGCTGCGCTCAACCATCAGCTGCCAGCGGGGGCGGCTCCTCGGCCCCAGAGACTGCAGGAGGAGTTTTCAGAGTACGCTGCAATCCATGTGTCTTAAAGACCCAGTGGACTAAAAGACTTCAAAATGAAGTGAGGACGGGGAGTAACATGCTTGTTGAGTTTGGCATGAGAAAATTCACGTGGCCACACACTAGAAGACATCAAACTGGTACATCCCAGAGGAGTTGAAGAGGGCAGTTAAAAGGAGATACAATGTCTCAGGGGAGACAGACACAGAAAACATGTCTTGGACAGTCAAAATGCCCTTTTTGTGTTTTTTCCCACATATTTTTTAAAAATGGCTCCATCACAACATAAAGAAGCTAAAGCACAGACTGTTCCACACAGTCTAGCTGAAACTTCAAAGATTTGCCCAATAATCTAAGCACTAAAAATCTAAACTTTACCAGCTGGTCAATAGTGTTTTTGTTCCATCTTGCTCAAGCTGAAGTTTGGTGGCACATTTCTGATAACATTCTGAGGTCAACACCTCACAATTCAACCAATATGAAAGATAAATGTTTTAAAAAAGCCAAGAGAAGAGTGAGAGACGTGAGGAAAATATCGTCAAACACATTACACCTTTCTCAGTCTGTGGTTGCAAGTAAGAGCAACCATGAGTTGAGATAGTTTTCTCATCAGACATTTATGTTGATGTGGAATCACCAGAGCAGAGCTAAACTAAGTGCAGCAATCACACCTGTTTCAGAGTTTGAACTCCAGAGTTCAGTTTAGCAAATTTGAACTCGCAAGGATGTGAGTTTGAACAGGCTGCACTCTGTACTGAGAAAGGCCTAGTCTGTGCACACCGACAAAATAGAGAAGAGGTCTAACTGGGTACAGTAGTCCAAAAATAATACATATTCTACACAGACACTAAATAGACAGACATGTTTTGTTGAACCGTTCAGTCCCTTCAGTAATTTTTCATATTAACAATTTTGGACAAGGTACATAAATATATTACAACATTTTCTATCATGTTGTGAGCAACAACTAAGACCAAAGAAAATAAGTAGCTAATAAGATCAGCTAGTATGCATAATAAAACTATAATAATTTGATTTATTTTGGTTGCTATACCCAGAAATGTTGCTGCTTTTAATTCCACTAGTACAAGAATTTTATGAACCATATTATGTTGTGAGCTGCCATATTGCAAGTCCCTTAATCAACCCTTGCTTCGATTATGATGCTGCACAAAGAGCTTCATTGGGCCGTGCCAGTGAACTGGGGGACATGTTTGGTCATCACAAACCTGTAGTTTATACTGAGTCAAATATACACTGTCCTGCCACTGTAAATACTCACTAGAATGCCAGAATGAATGTGTATTAATCTGCTACTGAAAATAGTCCCCAACAAATTCACTCACCTGTTGGAATAACTTTTCTCAAAACCTACAATTCTCACTTGTTTTAGGAGATTACTTTTTTGACAGTTTGTAAAATTGTCCCAACTTCAAAGAACTTTTGTAGTAATCAATGAAGTTGGGGCTGAATGTCACATACAAGGTGACAATTTGAAAGATAGTGAGAGATAGACTAATGTTGCACTGGATTTTGGTGTTGACAATAAGAAAAATATTGAATTGCATCCACCTTATTCTCTAAGCGGGGAAAGGGCTGAAATCAGGCTACGAAGACCTCAGATTCCAAAAGGCCAAAAGCACCCCCATCGCTTATCAAGCTACATCTTTACAGAACCTTTGCAAATGATCTACAACTGCTGTGGATTTGATTGTGATCTTGGTTTGAATGTTTTGTGCACTGGACTCACCGCACGTTAAGGCTGTGACTTTGTGCTGTTGCATGTCCATGACTTGAAGTTACTCTTCTGAGTAACAACACATCTGACTACAGTAATGGTTTCATGAGCTTACAACCTACATCATATCAACTGCTGACTCACTTTCCAACTGTCCGAATGACTACTGAGCTTCATTGTGACTTCCTTCTGTGTTGAGAAAAAGAATGTATTAATAACCATTTTGTGCAATCAAATAATATAATCAGCCCTGTGATGGACTGGCGACCTGTTCATGGTGGAGCCTGCCTCTCATCCAGTGTCAGCTGGGATTGGCTCCAGCCCCCCACGACCCTGTTCAGGAATAAGCAGTATAGATAATAGATGGACAGAAATAATATAATGCATATCCATAACAGTTTGATTTGAATTAAGATGATGCCTTCACTGCTCACTCACTTTTGTACTGTAAATACCATGGAAGCAAAAATGTTTACTAAAAAAAATCCCCAAACTTTCAGATTTACCAAGGATGATGTGTGTGTCTGCGTGCGATTAAAATGTCCTTTTTGCACTGACACATATTGTATGTTGTGTGTGTTTTCCTTTACACTAGGAGGTGTAATAGGGGTGTTTTCACAGTAAAGCCCACCATAATCCAGAAGAGGAAGTAAAACAGACCACAAGTGATTTGCTGTGATACAAAGCACACGAACAATAATAATTACTTTACAGAAGTGGATAGCGACATCTTATTTCCACCATGAGGTTTAACTACTGCTGGACCATCATCTTTCATGTGCTCATCCTGTTGATTCTCACTGTGGATGCTCATAGTAAGTTATTGTTTATTCTTCCTACATCGCTCACTCGGAATCTGAGCAGGACTTTGTCGCTAGGTCATGTTTTTATGATTAATAAAATAAATGTTGTTTTATGGTGTTAATGGTTATAAATACTGAAAAGATGTCAAATAAGCTTATGAAACCTCATACACTTAGTCAAGAGAAGGATATAGTACAACCGCACACACCCAGACTTAGCAGCACAGCATTAAAACTCAAATAAACTAAAGAAGAAACCAAACAAAAAAAGGACAAGTAAAGGAGGGTTTAATACAAATGACTGTTAAAATGACAAAATGTCAGATGGGTCTTTAGTTCACTTCTTTTAAGTCAGGAAGTGTTATGTGTAATACACGGAAGGACCCAAGTATGCAGACACACAAGCCGAGTGAAGGTTCAAGTGCAACTTTAATAAATACAGGGCAAAAATAAAAAGCGACGAATATACAAGGGTTCAACCTGACTGAGTGAAACGAAACATCGACTAAGGCCAACAACAAAAACAGTTCAGTCAGGGAACGAGTAAAACTAAACAAACATAAAACTGAAGAAACAAACGAGTAAATCCAAAAACTCAAAGAGAAACAGACTGAAGGAATCCAGGGCAGGAACAAACAGAAGAAGCATACAGACTTACAAAAATATGTGAACTGGCAGGGTGTGGTCAACAGAAAGAGAAAGCAAATGGACCAGCAAGAGACTGAGGAGGAGGAGAATACATACACAAGACACCAGAGGATAATGATGGACAGGTGAACACAATGAGTGGTGATTGTAGACTTGAGTAAAGCTGGAGCAGGTGAGATGACACAGGACAGGATGTCTAACTAAAATACAGTATAAACACAAAACAGGAAGCAAGACCACAAACTATAACAGAAAGAGCTTTAATGGCGTATGAGTTGGTGGAAAATATTAACCATACCTCATTTAAACCAATCACTTAAGGCAGAAGAAGCTATACCTGTCTTTTCTCAGCCCCCTGCATTTGAAAAATGGTGATTCTACTTTGCACTGGTAAAACCTAGGCTATATATTGTATGGTGGAAGAGCAGTGTAATGACTGAGCATGAGTGTAATTCTAATAAGTTACATAAACTCATGTAGAGTCACCATCAAAGACTACAAAATGTACGGCAGCACTTTCTCTCAAATTTCACCCCTTTGTTTAAGACTGACAGACCCTGGTCCCAATCTTTACTCCATCACTAACTCTAACATTTATAAAACTTGTGTTTAATTTGGAAGAATTTGTTTCTGTAATGTATAATATATCGTTCTCTTTAACAGGAATCAAATTCAGCTGTTTCGTAGTATCAAGCAAGGATGAATTCATTTTCTCATTTGTAAGTTGCATGTGTGTGTTGTCATTTTTCTCCTGCAGGTGAAGATTCAGATTGTGAAACAGAAATGAAAGTACGACGCCAGACAGTTTACGAGGCCTTACTTGGACAAGAGCTGAAGATAAACTGCACAGTTGCTTTCTGCAACAGTTCACCACCAACAGTCTCCTGGTTTAAACTTGAGAAATCCTCTTCTGTGAAAGTCAGCAGTAGCAGTCACATTAAAATAGAGTGGAAAAGTTCAAACCAGTCAGAAGGATTATCGTTTCTGACTTTCCAAAACATTCTCAGCAACGACTCAGGTCGGTACCAGTGTCTAAGTGGAGGCAGTATGAGTCATGCCATCTCCGTCTCTGTCTATGTGGTCAGTACCGGTGTCAAAGTGGATACACTGTTAGTCATGTCATCTCCGTCTCTGTCTATGGTGAGTGCAACTCTTCAGTAATTTAATACATCAGTACTGGACTAAACTGACCTAAGAAACCTGTGGTCACATAATTCAGATGACATTTCTGACTTCTGCAAATCATAGTGAACAGATGCAGTGTTATGTTTTGGTTTCATATGGAAGTATAAATCATCTTCACCCCTTCTGTCTTTACATCATTAACCCTGTAAAGCCTCACACATCAAAAAATAGCCAGAACATTCTAATTTTTTGGAACTGAGATGTTTATTAAACCTTTTAACAAAATCCAAAAGAAAGTTCAAGATTCAAGATTTTTATTTGCCATTTATGCATAGACAGACAGTCCGGGCATATAGGAATAAATGTGCCATATTATTTTGTTTATTTTTATTTTTTTGTATCACATTTGATACATGGGGCAACTTTGGCAATTTTTTTGCTTAGAAACCTGCGTATCAAATATGATACAAATGGTTTTATAGGGTTAAGACAGTAGCTCTGTATTGTTTTATAGGTGATAGTGAGGGTCCCAGTCTTAAATCAAAGAATGACACAAGTAAGAAAAATGCAGGCTATATCATAATATGCAGCAATGCTGCTATTCCACATGGTTTTCATGGCTTATCTTTAGTGCTGTCACTCTAAAAAAAACAACAGAATGAGAATAATCTGAATGTTTTCCAGATTATGTCGAGCCCACCACAGTTACATGGACGACTTTGGGTGAGAAAGCATCATTTACTCTCTCACAGTGGTACTGCTAACAGTTGTTATATGACTTATAGGTGTCAGATAAATCCTAAAGTATTCTTCTACATGAACTAAATGTACATGTGTCAATAGTTCCTTGATGCTGAGCCTTTTATTCTGCAGGAACCCCAGAAACACAGGACACTTTCTGGCCAATTGTGTTTCGTGCTCTTGGAGTAATGGTGTTTTTCATCGCAGTGATAGTCATACATGCATGTGTTACAAGAAAGCAAGCGTGTAAAGGTGAGAGTTGTGATTTTTACATACAGTAGTCAAATAAATCCTCAGTGTCAGTCAGCACTCTGCAGCTCTCCTGCTGTCTCACCTGTCTAATACTGAAAAACAGATTTAAAATGCCAAAGGACAATAAGAATAAATACGCCATATAGTACATTTATACTATCATGATTCTGATAACCGTCACTGATCTCACCTGTCTTTACAAGGTGCCTGCTGTGCTGGAGAATTCAGGAACTCAACAGATCCAAACCACCAGCCTTCCCATCGTGCCTCACCTAACGTGCAGATCTATGCCAATGTACCATAATGACACACTCCACGCCTTAAATCAAAGTTAAATCCTGTGACAAATTATTCATTTCAAGATTGCAACCTGTATCTGATATGTTACATTTCAGTTAGGCCTGAACTATTACTGCACTTTGCATTTTGATGTTTTTTGACACAAATTAATGTCATTCTTTTAAAAAAATATAATCTTTGTTTTACATTTACAAATATAGACAATTTCCTCATGGTGGTGAGTTTATTGTCATGAATATTGTGACTGTTGACTCCATTTTGTGCTTTAAAATTCCTGTAAATTAAACTATAACAACTCAGAAGTGAAAATTCTTGCATGAAAAAGCACTGCCTACCACGGCCAAGTGTGTGTGCACACAATGCAACACATTTACAGGTGAATAGTTTTGTTTCCTGTACAGGTATCAATCTTGCACATATCCGGTTTTAAACATGATTGTCTATATTGGTCTGCGTTTCTGCACCGTTGTTCTTTATGCTCTCTGCTGATGTTGACTGAAGAAAACTTCAACAGTATTTGATGTGCATCTGGGAGCAGACAGACTGTCAGCTGAAGAACAGGAAGCAGAATGAAACCACACGTCACATACCCATGTGTACAAACAAAGGGATGGAAGTTTTTTTTTTCAGTGAAAATATATAAATCATGTAGCCACTACTTAGCATCAGACACAAGCTCAGGCTATTAAAGGAATTGCATTGTATTTTGAAATTTTATCTAAAGTTTAAAAAATTGAACATGCATCCTCATATTTAAATAATTTATTGTGCATAAATGATAAACAGGCACAACATTACTTAAAAATCCAACAGTAGTTTATGAAATATGAAATTTGCTGGCTAATTTAGCAAATCTTAAAAACATGTTAAGAGGAAGTGTGACCACATGGTTAGCTAACTAATACACAACAAGGATCTGTGAGGCAAAGCACAGTGGTTGTAGCATTTGAGGTAAATGTTAATACATCTGTTAGCATGCTAACCTTTACTATTCAGAAACAAACACAAAAAGATTTTAGTTGTTTAATTCTGATGCTGTTGCAGCGTGAGTTGCATCACTTGCTAATAAACTACTGAAAATCCTAACACAACGTACGCCACATTTAGTGTAAGTCACCTTTAACTTACAGGTGCTGAAGCTTGTTTGGCTCATCACAAGATCATCTCTCTCCCACCTTGAATTCAGGAAATGACACCTTTCAGTACAGACTGAAACCAGGTACAATCTAAATAATAACTGAACCGAACATCTCAGTAGTCTCCTCTTTTCTAAAGGTTACATATTCTCTGCAACAGGAACCACATTAAAAAGACTTTTTAAGTTAGAAAACATTATTTGTCATACACATTAAAAGGCAGTGGAATGTAATTTATAAAGTAAAAATATCAGAAGACATTTTTATATTTTTACAGAGTTGACCAAATATCTATACAATTCATTTGTAGTTATAATTGGCACTAAATGAGCAGCTGCTTAGCACCTCATGATTTGAAGTAACAAAGCTGTAACCACAGTTTCTGATTTTCGTGTGAAAGTGCTGTAACTGATTTGTATGGTGAGTGAAGAGAGAAGTGGTGATAGGGGGTTGGACTCACAGCTCAGGGCTGCATGTAGCATGTGGAACAGCACGCTCGTGGGATGTGCTACCTCTATGGTTGTGAAATTGCTAAAAGTTGACATGCTCTGCTGCACTGTGTGCACAATCTGGTACAGTCACTCACACACACACACACAACCAAACCACTCCACTGCAGCATAGCCCACCAACTACACACTCATCGCCCCTTCCAAGCTAAGAACAAGGAAGTTAAAAAAAACGTGTGTGTTGGGCTGTTTTCAGCTGTTATTAGATGCCAAACTCTTCAACAGCGGTGTCAGCTTTCCCATTATGTTTTGTTGGCAAAGCTGTGTACAAAATTAGAAATTAAGGCTGGATGGACCAAGGGGAAAAGTTGAGAACTGTCACCTTGAAGCACGCTAAACAAGGTCGCCACCTAGTTGTGTAGAAGCCAAACCCAGGATTCTGCACTTAACAAGGCAAGAGGCCAGATGGTGTCTTGTTTTCTTGGTGATACAATGACAGATCAACAAAACCCTTAAAAACTTTAAAAAGGAAAGAAAAGTGAAATTATTATTTCCTATCAGTGTTGCTCCATAATGGCTTAAAAGCCACAGAGGTACCAAAACATAAACACATTGTGATTTTATTGTGAAGGTTTGCACAGTTTCCTCCAGATAAACCCTTATGTTTATATTAACTATCAAATAATTTGCTTTTATGGCACCAGCCTCACAGATAACAATCTAAATAAATTTGTCAAATGCTACTCAGTGCCTCCAAGTAACAGAGGAACTACTTCGCCTTTCCTGTCTTTATGAGGATTTTGGAAACAGTAAGGGAAAAACTGTCAGAACGGCGTTTGGAGACGACTTCACAATGGTCCACTTCAGACTGCAGAACCAAAGATTTTGTTCCATCTCTCAACTGAGCACAGTTTGTTTTTTGCTATTAGAAAGAACAGAAAAAATATTATTGATTGTGATTCATAGATATTTTCAAGTAACATCAAAGCAACTGCATCCTGTAGTCTTCAAGTTTTACTCACAGTTGGTGTTCAAACCCACAACAGTTTCCAGAGTGTATTTCAAATGACAGGTATCTTACTTTGGCATGAACTCTGACTCAGACTCAAATAATAAATATCTAATATGATACCTGAAAAATTGGTTGTAAAAAAGGCACAAAGAAGAGTTGATACCACTCACAAGGTCTGAGAGTTAAGCAGTAAAGCTTCTGGAGTGGGCTGTGGAGGAAATGAGTTTCCAATTGTGTAACTTGAGGTCAGGTTAATGTACCACGCACTGTTTTTTTTACATCACAGTGTAACCAAAAATGTCAAAGGTATCCAAGACAATTCAGAGACTTTAGTCACAAGTCCACTGAAGTTTCTCCAAAAACCATCTGATGATCTCTAAAATACTGATGATAAAAACAAGCAGTGAAACAACAACAGGTAAAGTCTCATGTTTAATTTGTTCCAGCAAGTGCTGATTCACTCAGCACCAACACAGGAAACTATTTGTCAGATACTAAAAGGTGAATACTGTTCAAAAACACTGAATACAAGAGAATGAAACAGAAATGTTTGACAGCAGCTTTAGTATCTGTACTAAGTTTTGTAAAAGCACTGTGTCTATCAAGATTCAAACCTTATGATCACCTTAACACTTCTATGTGAAAGAAGACAATATGTTTAGGACCCAGTGGCTGAGTCTAATAGGTACTACACTACATACAGTATTTTATACATGATATAGTTGTAGGAAGAGTTTTGACACAGTGAACTATATACACAGCCAGTGTAAACCTAATGTTTCCCCAAGTCTGCACGTAAAAAACTAACACTGGTGCTCCCTGGGATTTGGCTCTGAACGTTCTGAAACAGTGCACACAAACACGTGCACACTCACACACACATACATTGCGACACTCCAAATTTCTCAAAATTGACACAGACACGTATGAAGATACACAAGGCTCATTCACACAGGAATTGTTTGGGCGGTGTGAACCACTGAGCACATGAAGGTTACAGGTGGACCCCCCCCCCCCCCCCCCCCCCCACCGCCGGCCCACACCCACAAGCCAAAAAAAACATCCCGCCGCACTGTCTGGCACAGCACAGCAGCCATAAATAACCAGCCTCTCATTATTTCCCACTCAAACAATCTCAGTCTGAGTCACTCATTGTTCACTACAAGTTTGATTTTACGTTCCATTTGTGTGCTTCTCTTTGAGTTCATGTAATTTCCAGGTCGAGTTCATAACTGGCACAGCACCCTTTAGGATTTTAGGTGACAACAACTTGTGGTGGCCATTATGTAGGTCCACAGAACAACAATGTATGCACTTCTAGCCACACTAAAATCCTATTCCTTGTCATCTTATTACATGAAAACAAAGGTTTCTGCCAAAGTTAGAGCAGTTTTATTTCTGTTGAGGGATTTTTGTGTCTGTGTTCTTCTCACTAGACTGAAGTGTGTGAGACTCAGCAGGGAAAAGGTGACATCGCGTACGTCTGTGCACCAGTGAGAACTGAGCAAACTTTCAGTTTATGACTGATGACACCTGTGTGGTCCACACGCATCACGCTGATGATAATTGGCTAAGTTCTGGACCATTAAACTCTTTTATAGCTACTGTTAGGATACCTAATCAAGTTCAACTGTTGCCTACCTAATCTAATGTTATTTGAAAGAATTAAGAGTTTAGTTAATTTTGAAAGAAAACAGAAAAATATAACTTATTACACTGGTCAGCATCAGTGACCTGATCTCACACACACACTGCAACAATCTTAAGGTAGAGTTTCGCTGCAGCTCCATGATGGCACCAGATATATTGATTCAACCCCAAGACTCGTCAATAATCAAAGGTACTTTTCTACTGTAACTGTACTAACTAGCATTAGATGATGTGGTTTTACTTTTATTTACTTTGTAGTAGATGCATTTGTTTACACTAACAGGACCTTCCCAGCTCATGGAAGCAGAACCAGTAGCTCTGTTCCCTTCCATCTGCACACTGAGCTGAAGGGCACGGTGCTGAGCAGCTAGCTGGAGCTTCATCAACGCGATGGTGACACTGGGCTCTAAATCAGTCTGGACAGAAAGACAGAGAGAAACACAAACAGTTAGATGGTCAGCTGCTATCTTTGTCCCAAGACCACCAGAACATTTCCTCATTTCATTTCCAGTTTTGCATAAATCACACAGATCAAATCTGTCTGCCTGTCTTCAAGCTGTGATAGCCTTTTTCTAACAGGACATTCCTGAGATTTCAGCAGTCAAAAGTCGAGCACTTTGTATCAGGTTTGTAGGATGCTGGCCCATTTTTCTGTTTATCCATTATGCAAACACTTTAACATGAAACAATTACAGCTGGCAAATCTTTTACTATATGTCCTTCAATCACACATTATAAAATCATTAATCCAGTAAAGTTTTAACACAATTTAAGGTAAGCAGCAACAAATGTGCAGCAAAAGTGATGTGATGTACATCTGATCCAACTCTTTTAATTCTCATAGCACAAATCTACAAAGAAAATAAGACAAAAAAATTCTAACCATTAGTAACCAGTGAGGAGTGAGGCAAAAATGTCTTAGCGTCATGTGCAGAGGCTGGATTTTCTTGATATAGATCCCACACAGGAATGCAACAATAAGCACACGTCTGTGCACAGAGCCCTCAAATCGCCCACTCAACTCCAAAAAGACCATGATGCATACAATAATGAAACACTGCAGGGATTCCACAGCCTGCTGCACCTCAGTGTACATGTGGCAACAGTGTGAGTTATTTAAAGGTGGCTCACATAGAAAAGTGGCGCGTTAACACAGCTGTGTAAGATACTAGAAAACCACACGCTACAGAGGCCAAAGCACAAATTCATTTTAAGAAAACGTTTAATTTTAAAGGTGGCTGTTTTCTGCCAGCAGGGGTCACCTTCATCCTACTAACAGGCTGGTGAGCTGCTGCTTTTAAAATATTATGAATTTGTTCCTTCTTCCTCCCTCTAATCTCTTTGGAACAATCAGTGCAACCCTCAGTTCTGCCCACATGATTCAATGGGCCGTCTGTGTTTGTGTGCCGGACCGGATGTAGTCCCTCCCCTGTACTTCCTGTGGTGTAACAGGTTGAAAGGTGCCACTAAAAACATTTGCTCTTATCAATAGAAGGTTCTTATCTGTGGTCAGCTTCCTGCGCTTGTAGTTATGCAACTACTATAACGTACAGGCTTTACATCTCTATCAGGCCACGCCAGAAATCATGGAAACACAGACACAAATAGACCAGCAGCATTTTACTGGAAAACCCTCAGGCCCAACTTCCCAGCTGTGATTATTGTGAGCAGAAGCTGAATTACACCCACTGATTTAGAGGGAACCACAAAAGCCATTTTGTGGCCCTGGTTGCAGTTTGACTGCAGCCGCAGACATCACAGTTTCTCGGGTCAGTCGCAATGGGTTTCTCAGTAGCTCAACATCTAAAACACACTTAAAACATCTGTCAACAGACTCTGCAGTATGGAGCCTTGAAATAACTGTAAACTGTACTGCAACCAATGTACTGGTGTGCATCTCTTCAGTTCATCCAAATGATAAAAAGTGTATATTCCCTTTTAGCTCAAGCGGCCATGCAGATAGTATTAGCCTCAATTTTGAGATGTGAACTTTGTGCCACCTCTCCAGAATAAAATGACATTAAAGGCCACATATTTTCTCAGTCTGTCTTCCTCTGAACAGTGGTTCCTACTAGAGCTCAAAGCAATCTAGCAAATTTAGAGTAGGTTTTTTTTATTAGTTTTTTTCAGTGACAAGTTTCTGTATGAGGGCATCAATTAAATCCAACCAAACCACAGCCACATGGTTTTGATGAAGCAGAGTGTTTGAAAATGTAACTAATTTTTAGTTTCAAATGGTGACCTTGTTTTGAAAACAAGTTTTCATAGGGACTATTTGTTTTGTAGAAGGATGTTCACAGTGAGGGCTGTGAATTATTCAGTGCACCTGGGACAGTGTTTCTAGAAGAATACAGATTTTTCTTTCTAAAACATCGTAAAAAATAACTAAAGCCACCTTATTTTATGGGAATGGCAGCAGAACTCACAGAGGACCAATATTGGTGAGTGAGAAAATGTCTTTTTTGTAATTTGGGTGAACCAAACATTTCACAGGAATGAACTGTTATCACTATGTATCACTTCCTGCTGCAGGTAGCATGTAAAACCGACCCCCTTTCCCAAGCAGTGAATGTGGTTTTATTCCCTAAATTCTCTGCACACTGTTGTCATGTGTGATGGGATTTAAAAACACATGGAGGGATGTGACAAAGTGAACCAGGCCAGCTCCAAATATTGGTAAAATTCCTCAACACACTTTGCATTACAGATCTCTTCCACTAAACTGCCATCTGAATCACATCACAGTAAAGGCCTGTGTGCCAAGCCAAGACAAGGAAATACAGCATGTGTGTGTGTCTGTGCACTTGAATGTGACAGGGGGTTGTTATCAGCTAGCTTTCAACTGCTCCAGTTCCTCCTTGTTCCCTCCTCCAGGCCCCTACAGTCTGTCTTCCCCCATGGTGCATGGGATTAGACAGAGAAAGAGGGTCTTTTCTTCTGGCTGCTAACTCAGGACAATCAGCTCAACCACTTGTTATTCTGCTCAGGATCCACACAGTTGGAAAACAAGGAAACTTTGGCAAAGACTTTCAAGCAATGTGGAGCATCTCAAGAAAATAGACACTTCCTAAAAATCTATTTTTGCAGTGACCCTGGAACCTCTTCAAGAAATCCTTCACAGAATTTTGGCCACAAGTCATAGTCCAACACAACAGTGTCATTCACATGCAAAATGGTATGTGGGACTGTCAAGACTGTCCCAGAGGAGTTAGGGATGGGAGAGAAAAATAAATACATCAACAGCACAACTGAGGCCTGTGTTGTGTTGGACCCATGTGGGCAAAAGTTGGTTTTGGAACTTGGCAGAACTTAGTTGGAATGAAGTGGATGTGTCCGTATCTCAGGAAACTGTGAGTACACGGCCTCAACCTTTTTTATCATGCAAGAAAAACCTTGCAAAAAATCAAACATTCCAGGCCCATGCAATTATGTCAAAAATATCAAATATAAACTAAACTCATAAAGCCGTGGGACCGTCCTGACCTCAACACATCAGCGCCCACTTTTGTTTTTCTTCCTTTACAACCACAACTTTGGTTTGGCCACTAGAATATCAGCCAAAACTTCTGTCATTGTGCAGATAAGTTCGGTTTTCCCTGCCTCTCCTTGGTGGGCAGAAAATTTATGATGAAGGGGAAGTGGGCAGCGGTCCACATGCGACAATACGCTGCTGGGATCACACTGTTTCCTTGACACCAAGAGAGGATTATGGGAAGGGCATTAACAGGAGTCAAAGGAGTGATGATGACAAATGATGAAGCATCCACCCTGACACCTCTGGGTGGAAAGTAGTGTTTATGTTTGTTCTAATCTATGGAGGCCTCTGTGAGAGAGTTGGCCTTTCGAGTGTTTATTTCCCATTTTGTGTTTACTTTAAATTTACCTATTTGTCTGTGCTTCTGCAGAACATATTTTATAAAACAGCCAATATTCTTATGTTTGTTCTAATCTATGGAGGCCTTTTCAATCATAATTATCTCTCAATGGTTAATTTTGATAACACATATAGTATCTTGACTCCCTCAGGGCCCAGTCTTTATCTGTGGCCTTTCAGGTAATTAAACATGTTTAAATACTCTAAGTAAGCAGGTGATAAAACAGCTTAATAACCGGCTCCCACAAAAATAATTTGGTTTATAGTAGTTTATCCTCCTATATTTCCTTGTCTATTATTTTCTGTCCAAAGCAGCCTGGAGTGCGCAGCAAATCAAACCTTAACAGCACCAGTTGCAATTTCTTCATCAAATTCCAAAGAGAGGGAAATATTTGGCTTTGTAGCTGCTAAATGCTTCACTGTGTTCACCAGATGAACACGGCTGAAGGATGTTGTAAAGCTCTGTGGAGCTCAGGGGAAGAGCATAGTAAATCTGGGTTTGTCACTAGGAGCGACCTCTTCATATACGTGTAGCTATGTGATCCTTTGTTCAGTTAAGAATATTTATAGCAGATGTAAGTGGAACTTTAAACAGAAAGCATGTTGTTTTCCTGTGCTACTGTGCTGTTTTTAAAGGGTGGTTTGCTGTATCAGGGGCCATAAAATCCCAGGATGATTTCTGTTTGTGTAACCAGAAGAATTGTGAACATTTCATCATAATCACTATAATGACAAGAGACACTCAAAACTTGGCCACAAAAGGCCACAAGACAAAAAAATGCACTAAATATCAGCGGAATGTTTCTCTCCCATGATAGAGATAAAGAAATGCCCATTGAAAAGACTCTATAATCTCACAGTACTGAGACTGATTTTTCAGGAGTTGTTGCTCATTCTACAACTTTGAAGGAGAAAATCCACCTTCACATACTCTCTCAACAGTAATTTTGATGACAAGCTGTTAAATGAGCGAAGTAAATGTGACTTGGGAGAATAAATGTGGGGCAGAGTTGAGACTCACCATCAGTGCAGAGGAAACACTTGCAGAGACACACACACAGACACAGGAGGAGGACCGCTGCCACACCACACACTGAGAGCAGGATAACCATGGCTGGACCCACTGCAGCACACAAACATGTACATTTACTCCAAAGCGCTGTTTATGTTTTAAAAGTACAACATTTAATATGTGTGACATCTGGACCAAACAGGTTGCATTCTATAAAGCACAGGAATAACATTTCTTCCTTCCAGTATGCTGAGACATTACAGGATTTGGGACCCCACCAAAGCAGCCATAATTACCCCTGACTAAAATAGCTGAGAATAGATGCGTAGAAAAATGAAGTCTGGTTTCTACTGTGAGTATTTGGCAAATTGACAATGACTGCAGAGTCATATAACTGGATATAAAACATCCCTATATGTATCCGGCATAAACAGAATAGGTTCATCGACCATGACAGCCAGACATCATGTATATTTGTTACAACAAAAAATGGCTCATGAGGTGATCACCGTTTGTGTTGAGCGACACTGACAGGGGTTTCTCCAGACCCTTGTGGTGCACGATGCACTTGACAGACACGTCACTGAGCAGTCCTGCCTGGAAGAGCAGCGTGCTCATCACTATTGTTGTGCCATCGCCCTGATCGTAGGCTGATGAAATGGGTGGCCCGAGGGTTCGATTGTCGCCACCAACATTCCACCTGATGTCTGCTGCAGGACGGGACTGGGCGGTGCAATTGGCCTCAGTGACTCCTGAAGGCGAGGTCACATGGCTCACCTCTGGTTTGGGTAAAACTGGGGGAAGAAAGACTGAGTCAATATTATTCTGAGCAACAAATTTAGTTAGTTTTTCACCCGAAGCTTTTTATTTCTAATCCTGACTGACCTTTTGTATTTTGTCTAAGCCAATCACACACCACAGAAAGCAGAGTGCTGTTCCTCTGCCTTCCTAATGGAGATGGAGAGGCAGAGCACATTGCCTGTCAGTCTCTCTGCCCCAAGGACCCAATGACACAAACCCAGACAGAAAACAGAGGCGCAGTGGCTTTTACTAACTGTGTGTTTGTGTTTGTGTATCTGGAGCTTTGGTTCTGTCCCTTTAGACAAAAGCAAAGCTTGTTAAGCAGATCAAGAAGCACAAACACACACAGAGGCCTTGTGTCTAGGGAAACAGTGAGCCACTCATCCCCCAGGTTTTCTCCAAAATTAATCAGCCCTTTTCCCTCACTGACAACCCTCCTTCTGTCAATAAAAAAAAACACACACAGAGGAAGCTCAACAATAGCTCACACTCCTGGAAGGTTGGCTTATGACTTCTGAAGTTACGCTCTTGTCTGACATTGTGGTTATACCTCTATGGCACAGTTAGAGGAAAAACAAGGGGCTAAGTGTTGCTGAGGGACACAGAACAGGTCAGAACAGTAGTTTAATGACCCACTACAGCAACTCTGACCTCAGGCCCTGTGGTTTGTTCATACACAGCACTTCCCTTTCCTGAGCTATATCTGGGATACGCACACACGCACACACCGGCACACATTTCCTCTCAGCCTACAGTATACCTCCTGTGCAGAATGTGTCAAGACCACCTGGAAAATAATCCCAACAGTGTCAAAGCACATGCGGGCCCACACAGGAGAACAATGTGATTTATAACAGGGCATGTGTTCAGCCTGAACAGTACAGGTTTGCCTTGATGCTCCACTATAAACTGAAGTTTCACTCGTAGTTGGATTCAGGCATAAATAATATGCTGAAAAGTGCTTAGATCATGTCATAATGGTCCTTCACATGCAGATAGAGGCTGTACAGGGAAATACTACAAATGATCCTTTCTTGTATTTACTGTAAATATTTAAGTGCCACGTTACACATTATGTATTATACCCCTAATGCTAATAGAAAGAACTCTTTGATCAGAAATGATTTTGTTCTCAGAATAATATATAAGGCATTAAAATGGGCTTAATAAATTGAAAACTGGATTCTAGTTTCCTGCAAATTCTTCAAATTGTACAACATTTACAGTAAACGACTAAATGAATGTAGAAAGAATAAAAGATGACCACAGGGAAACATTGTTCCTGTCTCCAGACTCACCATAGACAGAGAGGCAGGTTGTGGCTCTTTTACTGCCATCTGGGTATGTGTGGAATTCACAGGTGTAGCAGGCCTCGTCCTCCGTGCTGACTGACTGGATGGTCAGCTGGGTGTGATCCAGAGTTTGGCTCAGGCTAACCCGACCCCTGAACTGCTCCTCTACATTGTGGTGGCCTTGCTTGACATAGGAGGCCACAGTGGTGGTGTCGCCCTGCTCGGCAGTCTTCCTCCACAGCACCTGCTTCACCCTCTCAGGGAGGTTGTACCAGCAAGACAGTGTGGCTGGCTTCCCGCTGATGGCCGTCTTGTTGCCCTCCTGGCGCACTTTACCTGGGACAAAGAAAATGCTCCTGTTATTGATATTTATTTTAATAAAAAGACGATTCATGCACAGTGATATTTTATAGGACTGGTTTGTGTACAGGGGTAACAAACAGGAGTCAGGCAGTGTGTGTACATTTAATGATAACAATAGACCTTAGCCTACTGTCTTATTGTCTCAAGGCATTCTGGGACTTGTGCGCGAAACTAGCACTTTGACCCCAGTCAAGACACACTGTCTGACAGCCAAGATACACAAAGACTACATTACTTATACAAATAAACACCCTCGCAAAAGACTTAGTCACTACGGAAAAAAAAGAACAAAAGTTCAAATATGCAGCACTGAATAATCACTACTTGTGTTTCCAGATAACAGAAACTAGGAATTAAAATTCCAAACCAAACACAGAATCTGATTCATCATCTCAGAGCATATTGTTAGGAGCCTTAATAACTTTTAAAACAGGGATAAAATTGTGTGACAGTAGAGGCCCATTTTTGGAAGATCTGAAACTTGTGAAAAGTGGAATTCACCAGTGACGTCGATGCACGTCTGGCCTTTTTGCTGGCCCCTGGGGAAAACATCAAAGATGCAGTTGTAGCAGCCCACGTCGTCAGGCCGCACCCTCTTGATGGTGATGTAGCTGGCATCATTGGCATGGGCAGTGAGCTGCACGCTGGGTTCCTGATGGGTGATGTGAACTGGCACGCTGTGTTCGTATGATAGGAGGACCTTGCCATCTCTGAGCCAGCGGACTTGCCGGACGATGTCACCTGTTGCCGTGGAGACATTGCAGCCAAGCATGATGGGGCGACCTGCCTCTGCTATTAGCCTGGCAGGAGCTGAAACCCCACCTGATGTAAGACACAAACAGCAAGTGAGCCACGAATCAGCTCAGTCAGACTGAAAGACAGAATAGTGCATTTATACTTCATAAAGACTAGAATGTGATACATATTACTAAGGCTGCGTCAGCCAAGATTTTTTAAGGCTGAAGTGTTATTTGTTTAGTTTTGCAGTGTCTGCAAGTCCAAAAGCATTGTGTTAGATTTATGTGCTGCCATTTCTAATATCCAAAAACATGTTTTACCTCTGTCATTATGGGTTATTGTTTCTAGAATCATAGGCAATTTAATCGATTTAAAATTCAACACAATAAGATGTGAAAAAAGTGAAAGTCTGAATACTTTCTACTATAGAAGTACCATCAGTAAAATGTACTTCAAAATTTGACATACTGGTTTTTCAGATAAATGTCCCCCATGGCTGATTTATTATTAAAAGATATTATTAGAATATTAATACTGCAATACTAAGAGTTAATCGCAAGTAGTATTTACTGTTAATGTTAATTGCAACTAATTGGTTCCCAACCCAGGAGTTTGCCTGGCCCAAAGGGTTTCACGATAAAGCTGATAGCTCGTGATTCATGGCAGAGGAAAGAAAAAAAAAAGTTCTGCTACACAAATTTGTATTTTGTTGACTTTTCTCAAAACTTTGCTGTGGATAATGTTACCTCAGCCTAATAAATCTAATACAGTCTAGAAAGGACATGTCTCTTCCATGGAACTACAGACAGCTCACAGAAACCTCAAATGTGACAGGAAGCCTCAACTAGGCAAGGCTTTTGTTGTGAAGGGTCACAAGCCAAAAAGACTGGGAACCACTGGTTTAATCTTTACACTGGATTATATTTTTCCATGTAATATCTTTATCTGTAACTACACCTGTCAGATAAATGTATTGTGGTAAAAAGGTCAATATTTCTCTCTAGGGGAAGTATAAGGCAGTGCATAGTTTGGAGACTGTTCACTGTTTTATAATGGTTGGAATAAAACCTCACAGTCTATTCACCATGCATATGTATAGACTTACTGCTGCCTGCTATTTGAGGCAATGTACAACTTTGATCACATATAACATCTTCTTACAAGGAATTACAGTCCATTTAATAAACCAAAAAGTTACCAGTGGGATGCAGGACCTACTTTGTATTGTGGAAGCAGCTGCTCCGACAATCCAGAGCAGCAGACACAGGGGGAGGGCAGGCCCATACATCGCACACCGAAGTAGGCTCACCAACTGGCTCGCTGACCCAGTATTACATTCAGACTGCAGCCGAAAACACAACCACTGTCAGAGAACATCAACCACGACCTAAGGCTCACTGTGAAACCTCAGCATGATACAGATGTACCTCTGCCAGCTGCCCCACACTCTGACTTGTTGAGCTGCTGCTGGTCAGCACAGCTGCAGCTGCATCTTTCTGGTACACGTCTGCTGTAATGGGACGCATGAAGCCAGAGGATTACACTCGCAATGACAGCTTCACCTGAGCATCATAAGACTACACGCTTTGCTTAGTACATAATAAACAAAAATACAAGAATGTGAATAACTATTTTTGGTACATTTGTGCATCTGACACTGCGATTAGTTCAATATAAAACTTAACACTATTGTACTGTTTGTGTCACCAACAACAGTTGCTGATTCAAGAAACATCACCTGGGGTCTAATGGGATCCACATGTAAATAGACATGTGGATCCACAGCATGCGTCCTTCCCCAGTAAGCCCATAATCCTTTGGTGTAAAAACAAGCTGCCACTTTAATGTCTAGACAGCAGCAAACCTAGAGATTTCACAACTGATACCTGAAGTCCAACCTCAACAAAATTACAGAGGATAGATCATGATGCAAGACAGGATTAAAGGATAATGGTCATGAATATGATCACAACATGAATGAGTTTATAAGTAAGTATGCAGAGGGTGTGTGTGCTGATACAAGACCAGCCAGGTCCAGAGACTGGTTGGCTCCTCACTTGTTTAAGAAAGACAGTAGCACAAGATGCTGCTATAACCTCCTTAAGAATTGTACTGGGATCAGATCAGCAGGCCACATCTTGGACAAAAAGGTGGAAACATAAACTAGCCTTTGATCAGACTCCACAAGTGAAGTGGCCTCGCTGGGAAAGAGAAACCCACTGGACCACAAACAGACCAGGTCCAGACCTCAGAGCTTTGTGGCTGTTACTGCTTTTTAATACTGCCAAACATCTGGGTTCAAACATGCAGCCTGCTCCTGCTGGGCAACAGTTAAACAACTTCTCCACTACAAAACGTTTAACCATGTCTGGATTACAGACAGTGGATTATTATAATGGACACAACAAATAGAATTTAATCAATCAACTTTAGGTTATTGTGAAACTCAAGGAGATACACAGCATAGCCATCTGTAATGTTAGTTTATTAACTGTGCATGCAATTTAAAAGAAACCTCTTCCGTTTTTAATAATTTTCACCCTCTTTGGGGGTCAAAGGCTTCAAAGGCAGACTCAACTTATTCAGGAAAATAGTTCACATTCACCAAGAAAGAGAGCGAAACCAGACTGGAAACCTAAATCCTAAAAATTATCTCTATATCCAGATGTGCACTGAACATTTTCACCACAGCTGGTCAGTCATGACACAAAAGTTATGTGGGATTTCTTGAACTGCTGAAATAAAGCAGAAACATAACCTTTCTCACATAAAAAAAAAAGTGGAAACAGCTTTTTTCTCATACTGAAACCAGCTTGATTAATGTAATTATTCCCTTTGCTGCATGACAAACATGACAAATGGCTAAAATGATGCAGTGATATCATAATAAGGCATCAGAGAAAGACTGGAAAACACTTCACTCTGTCTTCTGAGACGCTTATCCAACAGGTGGAACAAGGCAAGTATTGCTTGGCAAAGTTATTTCTTAATCAGGTTAAATAAATTATAGCTTAATTTAAATCATAACTTAAACTTCTCCAGTTTAAATAATGGATATATTTACAACCACTACAGGAACGTTCATGTCCTGAAGAGGTGGGTGGATGTGGAAATTCTTGGATTAGACAGAAAATAAATGCAGAAGTAAATGCAAATTCAAAACTAAAAAAAATTTCATTCTAATGTTGCTGCAAAGAAAGCCATTTTGAAAATAAAACATCAAACCTACCCGCTGACAGGGGAGAACCCTGGAAAGACAAAGCTTGTTCCCAGTCTGAGATGCTCCCTGTGCTACAGGTAATGTGAAACTGAAACAGAATAATCCATGGCTCATACACCAAACTCCGACAGACCAGTGTTGAGTTCCTGCTGCCTCATTTCAACTCCTGGTCTCTTAATCCGCCTCAGCTCCTCCTCAGACATGACGCCTGAGGAAACAGGGACCTCCAGTGGACTGCTGCTGAAACTCACAACAGATTGTTCTGAATAAATCACATCATTATGCACAAGGTGAAGATTGGATCACGTTTTCTTATCACAACAAATGTGGCTCGAAAAGGCAAAACATTTTCCAAATGTTAATGAAAAATGTAAAACTTTGTAGTTTTACATGTGACCGGGCCAATATACAGGCCTAGGCAACTCAGACTGTAGTAACTCTTAGTAGTTCCCCAAGAATAACACCCCTACTGTTTTCAGAGGTCAACTTCATGCAAACTTCACCAGTACTGAGCTGCTACCCCCCAGATAAGTCCGCAAATACAGAGACGTTGGAATTATTCACACAAATAAACTTTATTT